GCCGTCACACTAGATATATTGACTGCCCACCAAGTCGAGAACGCAACGCCTGCAAACGGAAACGCGGTTCCCACGTTTGCCTGAAGCATTCCTCCACCGCTGACACCTGCGACGCCTGCGACACGTTCCCGATTCTTCAGAAACATACAGTTAGCGCCTATCCGTTCTCTCCAGGTGTTTGTAGTGCGTACCACCTGTATCTACCGCCATTCCCACCTTTCTCGGAACCAGGCCGCTTCGCCCTTTCCCCTCAGCCGCCCGTCAACGGTACCCTAGCTCTGCTGCGCCCATCTTGTATCGGGCCGCCTCCTTATCGCGTAAGCAAAGTGCCGAAGCGAAAGAGACGCTTGCCCGAGTGACACCAAGGTTTGCGTGTAGTATTTGCTTCCGTCAAAATGAGATGCGTGGCCGCTCCGTACCGTCTCCACGGGAAACGCAGGCCGCAAACTACTCGGAACCTTCACTAAACACCGTCGCACCCCATCAGGCGCGTACCCGCAAAGTCGCCGGCACAGATGCAAAGCACATAAACTGGTACTCGCTGCTCTTAATCATACAACCGTCGTCCACACGCATGCCGCACTGACCTCCGTGCTCCTGCACCTGGTCGCGCAACTGAAACACCCTTTGTGAGCCAACATGAGGGTCCCGGCGAGATAGCCACTCCCACTTCAGCCCCTAGCACCCGATCTTCAACATCCACTTTCACATTGTCTTCCTCATGCACTGAACCAACACCGTGTACAGCCACTCACAGTCTGTACAGTTCATACAAAAAATGCCTTCTCCGCACACCCTCCATCACGCGGAGCCGAACCGTCCTGCACGCATCGACGGCAAATGCACATTTCTACACACTCCCAAGCCCAAGAGAACCCTACAGTACCTGCAATACCATTCGCAACGGTTGCTGCCAACCAAATACTAAGCTGCGCCGGAGCCAGGGACCCCCACGGCTGGTCTTGTTGTCTGTCCTCTAGTTCCCAAGTCCCATCATCCCGTCCCGTCATCCTTGCACACTGATCCAACAGCAACCGCCATCCACACCCGTTCTACCGCAAAACGTGAACCATATGCTGTCCATTCACATCAAGCCTTGGCGACTCATCAGGCGCAAACCGCCATATCAGAGACGCCTCCGCTGCTCACATCCCAACGACCCTGCACGACGCCCATGCACGCAACCATACACCGTACTGCCGCTGCAGCCAAAGACTGTTATTCCCAGTGCGCGCAGGAGCCCATAAACATCTTGCACCTTTTCGCTTTGTGCTGCGGTCCTTCGGCCTCCCCACACCCATGCCACCCTCCCGCCTCCACGTCCACTGTGCACCTGTTCCCACGATCGTCAAGAT